TTAGATACAATGACGAGTGTAACGAGAAACAGTTTGGTAAGCAAAGAAAATATATATATATATATATATATATATATATACATATATATATATTAGTTTCCCTGGTAAAAGGCATTTTGAGAAGATCTGGCAAATGAAACACCATGCTTTTTAGAAGTCCACATGCAAGTTGATTGAGGTTATAACTTAAAACCCTCAGAACTTTTCTCAGTTAATGCAAAAATCTCTGTTCATTGAGTTAAAAAGAGCTGAGGGTGTTGGTTTTCTTTTAGCCTTATGTTTTCCTTCAAGTATGCTTTTGGGTATCCGTTTCAGATAGCATCATTGAGTCAAGCAAAGTAGTTACTTAGTCAAATTTTGACTTAAGTAGCTGTAATAATAATGTGATGGCAATCTTTATATATATATATATATAATACTGTGTATGTACAAAGATTTTTATATATATATATATAGAAAGTGTTTGTATGTATATTTGGTACAGGTAAATAAATGCTCACATCCTTTTTAAGAAACTGGCCATCTACTCTCAGATTCAGCCCAGAAAGTCCTTCAGTTGTTTGACAAAACTAGTCATTGCAGAGGTTATTTTTAATCAAATTTAAAATGTCCTGAGCTGTGTGCATTTTTATTTGCCTGTTGGAGAAGCTCATGAGTAAGTGTTGTCACCCAAGCTACAAAGAAAACTAGAGAAGTGACATACTGGTGAGCACTATACCACTATACCATGTGCAGCACATGCATGTGTTGTTAGCTACAGGTTTGAGTCATTCTGGTTGAAAGGAGAGAGAAAAGCTTTATTGCCTTACTCAGGCAAGGAATGTCCATGATTTAATTTGGTCTAATGGCATGACTTAAGAGGAAGAAAAAGTGGTGCAGAGACATTCTAGGAACAGGGGATCATGGTTGGTTTAAAGTGAATCTGTAGTGCTGGCTGGCAAATTCTGCTCTTGTGAGAGTCCTGTTATTTTCAAAGCCAAGACAAAGTCTGCAAAAAATAAAAGGGTGAATTATGTAGTTTTAGTTACTGCTGATGGTAGCACTGCATCTTTGTGTTAAAAATCAAGTTGTTGATTCTTATTATTTTATATAGATGCCCAGATTTTTTGCTGGTAGCCTAAAAACCTAAACTGACAGCAGCAATGAAGCCCACCGAGCAATTACTGGGCCAGTGGAAGGTGTAATCGAACAGAATAAGTGCCCCATCGTAAATGGAGACAGTGTGTGTTTTGGGGGGAGGGGCGGGAGAGGGCAAGTCACAAACCACAGCTCTTCTCTGTGTATACGTTTAAACTGAATATCATCTTTTTGTGTATAGTTAAGTTCTCAGATTTGTAAGTTTTTATACATCATTTCATTGAATAAAAACTGAATTAAATGGGATATGATTTATTGAGTTGAAGGTGAAAGGTTGTTGGGTTTTGATCTTTCTGAAAGAGCTCTTAATGAATTGGTTTAAAAGCCAAGTGATTTATTCTGTTTATCAGACTAAAACCTCCGTCATACGGGTGAACAAATAGCTTACTAAATCTTAAAACAGTGGATTTAGCACAAAATTTAGCACATATTCTTTTTTCTGGTTTATTACAAGGTGACAATTATTGTAAAGTATATTATAAGTGGTGTCGAGTTTATCATCTTTTGTATTAGAGTAATAGTTTTAAAATCAATTGATTTTATTTCAAAGTATAAATATATTTTGAGGTAAAAACCCAACATCTTACAGAATTATTTTAGTTGCCAGTTTTAAAACTTTTTTAGGATCTTCACCTACCAATATAAGTTCTTTAAATGTTTTTTCATTTCATCTCAGTCTGAAATGTTCTCAGACTAGGAAGACAAAAGAATCAATCTTTCCTAATTCAGGATAAGGTTATCTTTTGAAGTAGCTGTGGTTTATAGGGGATAGTCACAGGTTCATTTCCAAAATTACTACAGCTGCTAAAGGTGCTGCCGCCTCAGCTATTAATTACTGCTTAGTCAGATGCTTTTTTTTTTTTTCCAATTCTTTCAGAGCTCCAGCTCTGCTGCAGTGCAGAGTACAACAGTTCAGCTCAATTCCCCAGGTGGCTGGTTGTTACAGGGCCAAACAATTTTTTGTGAGGCATTCAGCAGCTCTGGGTCCTTACCTTATTACTGCTCCCACCTCTCCTTCTCCACTGTTTGGAGAACATGATGTTTGCTCAGTTGTATGTTGAATGGGTTTAAGTGAACTGATTCCACTGAAAGGCAACCAGTCTTTAAAAAATGCTGTGTTTCTGTCAAATCTATTCCCTATTTCAGCTCTGCAGAGGGTTTCAGATGACTCCCAGATTGTACGAGGGCAGAAATGAGCAGGGAGGAGGCTTACTGAAGCCACTGTTACTGCTAGCAACATCTGAGGTAAAGAGAGTGTGAAGCTCCCTCTTGCCTGATGGGCAGTGTGGCCCCACAAGCTGGTGTACTGCCCAGAAAGAAGGGGCAGGGTAGGGCAGGACAAGCAGCCAGAGAAGTTGGTTATAACAGCACTGCTGCAAGAAACATGAAATTGTAGGCTCAGCAGAGATACTTTCACCTGTTAATATTTATTCTTAAGAAATAACACTGTCAGGTAAAGAGAAAAAAGACCACAATAAAGAGATTATTTTTCTATAATAGTCTTTATTGTCTGAATGCTCCATAGTAATGTTTAAAGTCATTGCCTCTCACTGCTTGAGCAGTTTTGTTCCTCTACAACAAATAAGGAACAGTATATTTTAGTTCTTAACAGCTGCATCAAGAATTGGGGTAATTACAGCACAACTATAGTTTTGTCAAGCATCTTTGTAAATCTCATCTGAATTATTACAGTTAGAGACAACTTCAGGTTTTATCTTTCAACTTTTGACTCGGAAATTTGTGGCCGCGTTTATCATTGCTCATCCAGTCTGCTCACCTGCTGAAATTGTAAATTTTCTACCAAATGACTGCAGGAACTACTATCAGTGAAAATCTGCCATCATTCAAGGCTATGGGCTTCAGCCCCAGTGTATTTCCAATCATTCTGCTTCTGCAGGGGGAGAACTTATTAGTAGATAGTGGTGTTATAAACATTGAACAGTTTAAGCTGTGCTCCTGTTTACACTGCAGGGCCTTAAATTGCTACCTTCATATTTAGAAAATCTGCTTTGTGGCTCTTCAGCTTCAAATCCCATAAAATAATTCCATCAGTTACAAAAGATAGTTAAAAAAAAAAAAATTCTGTCTGTTTGCTTTAAGTACCTTCTTTGACATTGCAAAATCTTTTACCTTAATTAAAGGAAACCTGGTTAGACAAGAGCAGGTTCTATGGTGCCCAGTGGCATCACAATCCCTTGCAATGTTTTTTCCCAGTCTGCTTAACAGCAGGATTACTATTTTCAGGTCGTTTGCCTTTTTGGAGAGTAATATAGTTCTTTAGTTTAATCTTCGGCCGAAGCAAGTGAAGACCAAATTGATTCATTCTTAACCAAGTTAAATTATTTTTCCTTGATTGTATTTCCACACCTTTTAATCTTAAGAAATAAACACAACTAAGGGAGAGTTCATTTTGGAGTTCTGTAATTGACACTGTTGTTTAGTGCTTCCTAAAAGTCCACAAATGTTTCCATGTGGCAAGATACTTAATAGCTCTGAATTATTAGGAGTATTTAGGCTACTTAAAGAAAACAGATTCCATTTAACATTCCTACTTCAACATTGTAAATATTACACTGTTAGTTAAAGCAGCATACCTTCATAATGAAATCTAGGTGATATACTACCAGTGGTGATAAAGGCTGACTTTAAAAAGCCCGGCTGTTGGCCTACCTGAGGCAGTATGTTTCCATTTCTACAGCTCTGGTTTTGTTCATCTGCTTTGGTTTGTAAAAATGCCTGTTGTTGTCACTGGATTATGAAATCCAATTCATAGCAAAACCACAAGAAAATGCAAAAAGAAGCAAAAAGTCTTTTGCAACATGCTTTGTTAATGTATATTTGTCAAATGATCCGTGATCATCTCTAGAAAGAAGACAAACTCACTGTCCTTAAATATGGGCTTCTATCAAGCCTGCCATTAAAAAGGACATATTTTAATGAAATTTAGCAAATTTTGAGTGAATCGGTGCCAAAATGTGCTCTGATGTGGCCTGTTCCTGGGTGGCAGAGAGAGTGGAAGGAATTGGGCAGATTCCTATGACGGTTATCACCTCCTGTAGCTTGGGATCTCACCCCTGAACAGGCAAGCAACCCCACAAAATTGACACATCACCTGATAGAGCAGCAGTAGAGCATTGCTGCCATGCTGTCTATGCATCCATGCTTTTGAACAAATCACGTGTGCCAAGATGAAGAGCTCAGCATCGTCTCTGAGCAGCTGTCACTGCACTGCCAGTATTTTAGGCCTCGTGCCGAAGGCGCTGCCAGCAGGACTTCCTCAGATTCAGTCCATGCCTGTCACCTTGGCCAAAACCAAGTCTTCCCTGTAACCTCAGGAAATCTACTCAGAGAAGAGAGAAGCAGAGCCACAAAATGCAAGTTAACACAAATGTACATTTACTGTACCGCGCTGTAGAGTATGGAGGAGGCACCCCACCAGTCCAGCCTGCCTCCGCTCTGCTGTGTCAGGCCCAGTTCTGAAGCAGACCCTACGCTTTCTAAGGGAGCTTCCTGATAAACCCATGTTTCCTTCAATTCTCTTCATTAAGACTTTTCCATTTTGTTACTACTGTGTTGTGTCATTTCAGTTTCAGCAGTGAGTTATTCTGTGGATTGTCATGGTTCGTTTGGATCTCTCAAATTCAGAGCACTGTACCCTGTGAGTCAAGCTTTATTTCATGAGCTCATCAGGTAAAAATCAAACAAGGGCTAAATGCCCTTTTAACAAACTAGTTTAAATTCTCAATTCTCTATTGCTTCAACAATTCAGATGCTCATTAACTCGTAGTCACTAACCCACATGCTTATAAGCAAGAGTTACCTGGCAGAGGGTGAGGGTGATTATCCTTCCTCCTGTGTCACACTGCAGGTGTCCCCTCTATCACCCCAGGAAGCAGAAGAGCCTCAGCAGCCTGGTCGCTGCTGGACTTGCTGCCAAGGTTTTTTGGGGTAGGCTGGCTTTTGAGGTTTGAACTCAGCCAGCAGCCAGACGCCACATGGCCAGCTGTTCACCTCCCCCCCATTTCTGGTGAAATAGGGGGGGAGCAAAAAAAGATAATTTGTAGGTTGAATAAAAAGAAAGAATTTACTAAATATAACACGAGAACAACAGTAACAAGAGTGAGTCCAAAAAGAAACACGTAAAATGCAGCAGTGGCTTACCGACCACGGCAACCACCCCCACAGCAACATACACTCGGGCTGGACTTGAAAATCCCATGCCCACCCGAGTGAGCCTGCCCCCCTATATCCTTGGGAAAGACATCACATGGTATGAAATACTCCAATGAAAGCTAACTCCATCCCGGTCGAAACCAGGACCGTCTCCACCCTTTAGACCATTGACATTATGCTCAGGTTTCAAAATACATCTTAAGGAATCACCACACTCTTTTTTCCCAGGTCTCACAGGTATCATTCCCTCAGTCTACAGGCCATCCTTCCACAATGTCTGCTGAGTTCATTTAGTCCATAACTTTGGGTTCCATCTGTCATGACAGTCTATAAGGCTGGAGGAATGAGGTGGAGTTGGCTCAGTCAGTGGAGCAGGAGGCTTTGGATGTGGCACAGGAATGTTGCACGGCACCAATTGCCATAACAGGGTTATTTGACAGTTTGATTCATTGGCTATTCTCACCTAAAATCAAATCTCCCTGAGGCACACATCAGACTTCTCCATCCTTCTGCACCACCAAGAGCACCCAGGTCCTTGGGCAAAAGTAATCCCACGCATGGGTTTACCTTTACCCAATGCAGGAGTAACCCTGTCTTCCCCAACATATTCCTAATGCACACTATGGGGGCTTTATCCCCATCCACGGTATGTAGGAGGCTTGATTGAGCAGTGCCAGCTTGCTTGGCATATCCTCTGGTATTGACTAACTAGGTGGCTTTTGCTAAATGCACGTCCCAGTGTTTGAAAGTTCCAGCACCCACTGCTCTCAGTGTAGTTTTCAGCAATCCACTGTATCGCTCAATTTTCCCAGAGGCTGGTGCATGGTAGGGAATGTGATGTATCCACTCAGTACCATGTTCTTTGGCCCAGGCATCTATGACGTTGTTTCAGAAATGTGTCCCCTTATCTGACTCAATCCTTTCTGGCGTGCCATGCCGCCATAAGACTTTCTCCTCAACGCCTAAAATGGTTGCCTGGGCAGTGGCATGGGACGCAGCATAAGTTTCCAACCAACCAGTGGCTGCTTCCACCATTGTAAGCACGCAGTGTTTGCAACGCCGAGTTTGTGGGACCAATTCATCTGCCAGGCCTCCCCATATTTATATCTTGGCCATCGTCCTCCATACCAAATGGGCTTTAACCATTTGGTTTGCTTGATCATAGCACGTCTCACATTCATGGATTACCTGTGCAATAGCATCCATGGTTAAGTCCACCCCTTGGCCATGAGCCCATCTATATGTTGCATCTCTTCCCTGATGGCCTGAGGAGTCATGGGCACAGTGAGCCATAAATTGTCCACTCTTATGTTGCCAGTCCAGATCTACTTGAGCCACCTTGATCTTGGCAGCCTGATTCGCCTGTTGGTTGTTCTGATCGTTCTTCAGTGGCCCGGCTCTTGGGTACACGAGTGTATACATGGCGTACTTTCACAACCAGATTCTCTACTCAAGCAGCAATATCTTGCCATAATTCTGCAAGCCAGACGGGTTTGCCTCTGCGCTGCCAGTTGCTCCATTTCCACTGCTGTAACCACTCCCACAGCGCATTTGCCACCATCCATGAATCAGTACAGAGGTAGAACACTGGCCACTTCTCTCACTCAGTGATATCCAAGGCCAGCTGGATGGATTTCACCTCTGAGAACTGACTCAATTCACCTTCTCCTTCAGTAGCTTCAGAAACCCATTGTGGGGGGCTCTACACAGCTGCTTTCCACCTTTGATGTTGCCCCCAATTTTTATCTGTTGGTAAACAGGGCATATCACTTCTCATTATGCAGTAGTTCATTATATGGTGGGGTCTCTTCAGCATTTGGTATTCCTCTGGCACCATTCCAAAATCTTTGCCTTCTGGCCAATTTGTGGTCACTTCCAATATTCCTGGATGGCTGGGGCTCCCTATTCGAGCCTGTTGTGTGTTAATATTACCCATCTACTCCACGTGGCATCGGCTGCATGGTGTGTAGAGGTGACACTCCCTTTGAACACCCAGTCCAGCACTGGCAGTCGGGGTTCCAGGAGGAGCTGTGCTTCAGTCCCAATCACTTCTGAAGCAGCTCAGACCCCTTCATATGCTGCCAGTATCTCCTTTTCAGTTGGAGTACAGCGGTCTTCTGATCCTCTGTATCCCCAATTCCAGAACCCCAGGGGTCCACCCCAAGCATCCCCTGGTGCTCTCAGCCAGAGAATCCAGGGAGGGCCATTCTTCCTGGCTGCAGTGTAGAGCACATTTTTAACATCTTGCCCTGTAACTTTGTGTAGCTGATGAATAAGACTTCTAGATTGTGACAGCCCAGAATGGATAAAGAGGAATTTTTCAGACCATTCTATATTGCTAGTGTTGAGCCACTTCAAAGAACAGGACCAGTAAGTGTAGAAGATCGTAAAACTGATCTCTCTCCTGATTTGTCTTTGGTTTCTTCAAGCTCGAACACAAGCCAGAGGAACAGTTTGGAGCCTAAGGGACATATACAAGTTTGCCTGCGTATTAGCAATTTACATTGCTGGAAAGAGAAAATGAATTGCAGAACTGTGTTTCACTTGAAGGTTCCACAAGCATTATACTGAAGCCTCCCAAAAATTCTTTGAGTCAACTAAGTGAAAAAAACTGCTGAACAGATGATGCAGAAGTTAACTTTTTCATGAGTGTTTGGACCTGAAGCAACTCAAGAATTCTTTTAAAGTACCATGAAGCAACCAGTGCAAGATTTCTTAGATGGATATAATCATCTTATTTTTACATATGGTGTTAGAAATGCTGGAAAACCTACACATTCCAAGGGACAGAGGATGATGTCAGTATTCTGCCAGAGACTCAGATTTCGTGTCTTCTTTCCAATGGCTTTGTCAATGCCCCCTTCACTAGTCAAGGATCTCAGCTGCCTGGCTTCCCTGCCCTATAGTTCCATGCCACTGGCCCCGCTAACCCAGCCCTGGAGCAGCCAGGTAACAAATTGCTCATCTGGATAGCGGCTGAAATCTTTTCTTATATCTTGCAACTCACTCACGGATAAGGATCGCGTGACTATCGCTGGCTTGGCCTCCTCTTCCTGTTCTCATGATGGGCCTGGTTCATCATCACCCTGTACACCAGGAGGGGATTTTCTTGTGTATTTCTTCTTATGTATGGGAGCAACTGACACCGTCGTGGGTTGGTTCTCTGGTTCAGCTGCAGCACCTGTCCTTGGGCTTGTAGTGGCTGCAGTTTCTGTTACTTGGTTAGCAGGTGCAGAACCCTCCTCTTTCTCCTGAGGGTGCTGAACAGTGTTTAATAGCACCCGGTAAGCGTGGGCTATGCCCCAGCATGCTGCAGTGAGCTCTGCCTCTCAAGAATCACCTGGGTGACAACACACTTTTCCCAAATATTCCACTAGTTCTTCAGGATTCCGCACCTGTGCAGGAGTGAAGTTCCAATACACTGGAGGTGCCCACTATTCTAGGTACTTGCCCATGCTACTCCACACCCCCAGCCACTCATAATTCTCCAACCTTGGGGTAGATTTCCCAGTGATATTCTTAAATAGTTGCTTAACCCTGAACAAAACCTGAACAACATGCAGGAATGCACTAGCTCCTAACAGCATGGCCACCATGTTTATGTCAACACTCCAAAGAGATTCCAACTCCCCAAATTGCTCAAACACAACTGTAAATAGCCCCAGGACTGATGACTGCACGCTCTCACAGATGACCATCACATAGCACAACAGGAAAAAAATCTTAACCCAACTCTCATGGAAGGTGAGCAACAGCATGGGAAACACATACTGCAAATGAGGTGACAAGATCTTAAGGAGCCAAGCAATCCACATTTTAATCATTTTGTTGTTATCTCAAAAAAAAACCCTCAGTGCCCCACACTGGGCACCAAAAACTGTCGAGGTTTGAACTCAGCCGGCAGTCAGACACCACATGGTTGGCCGTGCACCTCCCCGCCACCTCTCTGGTGAAATAGAGGAGGGACAAAAAAAAGAAGGGAAATTGTAGGTTGAATAAAAAAGAAATAATGTACTAAATATAACAAGAGAATGACAGTAAAAATAGTGAGTCCAATCAGAAACGGGTAATATGCAGCAATGGCTTACCAACTGCTGTGACCACCCCCACAGCAACACTCACCCAGGCCAGACCCGAAAATCCCATGCTCCCTCCCCACACCCAAGCGAGGCCGCACCCCTATATCCCTGGGCATGACATCACACGGTAAGAAATACTCCAGTGAAAGCTAACTCCATCCTGGCTGAAATCAGGACACTGGACTATTCCTGCCTTCCAGCTTGGAAGTCTGGTTTAGGCATTTCCAGTGGCTTGGTGCAGTTAGTTCTGAAGACTTTCAGGCTTACCAGCAACTCCCGAAGAGTTCCCTCTGCATGGCTGCAGAGGCAGCGCACCACCTCTCCTTCGGGCCTTGGTACAAAGCGTCCATGCTGCTCTTTTGCCAGGGAAAGGCCTGCTCCCGGCACACATCAGGCCTTCGCAGGAGCTCTGCCGTGGGGCAGCACCTGAGCAGGAGCCGAGTGAGCAGCCGCTGTGGCTCTGGGCCCTATTTCTGCTGTTGCCTTATGGAGTCCTGACGTGACTCAGACTGGCACCGGGTACAGCCAGCAACCTAGAACTGAATCCTTACCTTCCCTTCAGAGCCCACCGAGGCAGCTTACTGTTTCCCGCGTGCCTTTGTGCACGTACCTCACCGGCGCAAGATGGCGCCGTGTCCTGCTCCTTCCTCTTCAGCCGCTGTCCACGCCGGATGGAAGCTCAGCCAACAGGGAAGACAACGGCCAGAAGTCGCTGCCTTTGCCACGCCGATTTCTCCAGCTTTGGGGGCGTTAAGGCACAGGAAGCACGGCTCGACGCGCATGTGAGCTGCAGCCCCCGTCGGGCCGTGAGGAACCCGCTGAGCCTGCTCTCGGCTGAGGCCGGCGCTGAGTTTGCAGAGGACGGCACTAGATGGTGCAGTCACACCAGAGCAACCCCCCAGGCGGCCTGGCTGGCTGGCCCCAGGCCCTGCCCGGGGGCAGGCACTGCACACCCCGAAGAGCCTTTCCCTAGCAGCATGCCTGTACCCAGAGGCTGCACTGGAAAGCCAAAGGGCTGCCGGCAGGGCGGACTCTCGCAGCCCCCCCGCCTTCAGCAGGCTCGCCCCAGAGAGCAGAGCCCTCTGCACCGTGGGCCGCAGGGCACTCGGAACCACAGAGTCCCGAGGCTTGCAGCGGCAGGTGTGCAAGCGGGGACGGTTTTGCATATTTAGCTGTGAGAAAAAAGTTTCCCTATACTGCCACACCTGCCATGAAGGGCTGACCAAGACCAGGCTGCTGCCTTGGTGTCCCTCAACCATTCAGAAGGCAGGAGATAACATTTTCACTGCCACTGACCTGCCCTGGTCCTCAGCATCTTGGCAAGAACCATGTTCTGTGGGAAGAGCTGTGGGATGGCCTTGCATTAGTATGTGTCTTTCGTACTGTTAAGCGCTTTGAGGAAACGATAGATCAATTGATAGATATATAGGAATATACATGGGAGTAGATGTTCTGAAGGGTGCGAGACAGAGACCATTAGTTTCCTGAGCTCCAGGGTGCATGTCTGTTCTTGAAATTGTTTGCTTCTGTGGATAAACTGAAGCCTTTCTCTGTGTCTGAGCAGCCAGTTCCTGCAGGAAGAGACACTGAAAGCAGAAAAATTTGTGGAGAGCAGCAAAGAACAGTGTCCTCAGCGAGCAGCCCCTAGGATGCCCAGGTGTAACAGGTCCCCCTGGCCCTGAGTGAGTTCAACAGGACAGGGAGGGGAAACAAGCCTCGAGGAGTGTGTTTTGTTTCCCCCACGCGCTGCTGGCAGCGCTGCCAGGAGATTCCCATGAGCTGACTGAGGAGCAGGTGGCAGAGAAACTTCAGCAGGGTGGCGGCACCGGCACTTCCCTGCGTGCTGTCTTTCAGCTACACCAGGGAAGTGCATGGCCAAGGAGAAGTAACTGTTTGGGCTTTGGTGCAGCTGCTGCAGTTCCCAGTCCCCAGGCCCAGAGAGGAGACAGTGCCTGAGCCTGTCCTGACTGTGGGAGTGTACATGTATGCATGCACATGTGTTTGCGCGCGCGCGCACACACACACACACACACAGAGTACACACGTGTCCAGCTGCTTCTCCTGCCCACAATGATGCCTTCCAAGGGAGGTGAGAAACATTAATTCTCCAAGCATTAGCACTACTACTATCTCTATTTAATTTCTTCTGCTTAAAAAGTCGAGTATCTTCTCCCTTCAGGAACGTTCTGTTAACATAACAGAATCAAAAAGAAGTGTAGATTTTTTTCTGGAATATTAAAACAAGCTAACCTCAGTACTGCTCATTTGACAATATTTTAAGCTTTTCTGATCTGAAGAATCATTAATATTTCAGTCTAGCTCATTTAAAATTAAAACATAACCTTCTAAACTTTGGTCTGTGTCCTATATCTAGAGTAGGAGCCACTTAGATGGTTCTGGTGTCTCCCATGCTATTATTTAAAAAAATAGGTAATGAGGGAAAAAACTGTTACACTGAACTTTACACCTCACAGATCATAATTAATTGTCCAGATACTTTCATGTTTCTTGATTTTAGCAATTAAAAACTCTTAAGTCCTTTTCTTCCTGCAGAAAGAGAAAGCACTACCTTCACAACATCGTTTGTTCATTGCTCGGTGTTAAAGATATGAACTTACATGTAAAGTGAAGATCTTCTTACTTCAAATATTCATACATATGTGTGAACATATTCTTCAAAAAAGACTTCATCCTAGAGATGCCACTGTGGCCCTAAAGTCTTTATCTGCTGCAGTTAAATATTTATTAATGGACTTTATTTGTTATAAAGCTCATTTTCTCTCCACTACATACAGAGGGAATTCGCTTCATTTTGAGTCTTTGTTGTTTGTTTTTGTTGTGGTTTGTTTTGTTTTGCTTGGGGTTTGAGGGAGGTGGGTGTGTTTTTTTAAGTGATGAGGATTTGCACATAGCAATGAGGTTCAGAACATTTCTGCCTGGAGGAGCAGCCCATGGTCACAGCAGACTCGAGTTCTGGAAAAGCATATTGGATTAAAACGCAGTTGGCTTGCGGACAGAGAGTATAAAAGCCCAGTACATAAAACATGAGCTCCATAGCCAGTACAGTGTATTTCCTGGCCACAGGACAAAAGGTAGAGAATAGTGAAACAAGATCCCACCTTTCTCCTTCCACTTCCCATTTATCTATGCAGAGAGGGATCTGCAGCCCCCAGGAAGCTCTCACTCTTTCCATGCCATCCTGCTTCCCTGGCTGCCCTGGATGAGCTGTTTTACTTTATTGTGTTGCCACAAACAGGTCACAACTGAATGTTCAGTAAAAGCACTCACTTTTCAACTCATTTCAATCTTTTTCTGGTTTTACAACAGCCTCTCTGATTTTCTTCCAATGCCAAGTTTGTCATAATAAGCAGTTTTATTTCCAGTAAAAGCAATCTTACACCATAGAATCATAGGATGGTTTGGGTTGGAAGGGACCTCAAAGATCATCTGGTTCCAACCCCCCTGCCATGAGCAGGGACACCTCCCACTAGACCAGGTTGCTCAAAGCCCCGAATAACCAGACCTTGAACACTGCCAGGGAGGGGGCATCCACAGCTTCTCTGGGCAACCTGTTCCAGTGCCTCACCACCCTCAGGGTGAAGAATTTCTTCCTTATATCTTATCTAAATCTACACTCTTTCAGTTTAAAACCGTTACTCCCTAGTAGAGTCCCTCCCCAGCCTTCCTGCAGCCCCCTTTAAGTACTGGAAGGCCACTAAAGGTCTCCCCAGAGCCTTCTCTTCTCTAGGCTGAACAGCCCCAACTCTCTCAGCCTGTCCTCACAGGGGAGGTGCTCCATCCCCCTGATCATCTTTGTGGCCTCCTCTGGACCTGCTTGAGCTCATCCATGTCCTTCTTATGTTGGGGGCCCCAGAGCTGGACACAGCAGTGCAAGTGGGGTCTCCTGAGAGCAGAACAGAGGGGGAGAATCACATCCCCCAACCTGCTAGCCACACATCCTCAGCATCACTTGATGTATGTTTGTCTCTGCTCCTGCAGTCCTCCAGCTGTGCTCTTCTGCTTCCTGGCATGTTGTCAGTACAACTCGCTGCCACTTTCCTGTTGTACCTTGCCACTCAATGGCAGCAATTAATCAATACCTTACAATGTACTTTATAACACAAAAGTCAAGAGGCATTACCTTATTTTTCAATGATGTGCCAAGGTTCCTTGATTCTACAGTATGATATAGAAGTATAACAGGTTGGTTTGCCATAGCACATCACCACTGTGCTGTACATTAGCCACAACCAAAAATAGGAGTTTTTGACGTTTTAAGCAAAATCATCTCTACTTAGATTGCAAGGTTTGATGCTCCTCAGTGACCCAAGCTCTTAACAGAAAAGCAAAAATAAATTACGATATCTCTTTTATTATAAAAATAAATAACTAATAAATAACAGGGATGTCCAGAGTCTTGAGAAACATCAGGAAATTATTACAGAAAGAGTACTGTGTATGTTCTTTCCATGAGCAACTACTGGTTATGAGCGAAAGAAAACAAAATAGTAATTTCAACATAGTCAATATGCTGCCATAGTGAATAGGAGCCTACTTCTACCAATCAATATTGATACTGTCTTAAGGGGTTTGTCTGGCTTTTTAAAATTAAATGTACTTTTTTGTGACAAACTGTAAGCAATATGTCCAGGCTTTGCCACACTATTCATACTGATGCACATTCCCTCTCTGCATCTGCGAGGCATTAACTGAACTGGCTCTACTGTGGGGAGGAGAGAGGATGTATGAGCCTGAATCCAATTGCAGGATCAAGACAGATTATGCAAAAATCCAATAAAAGCATTTCCCCAGCTGGGAGACTTATGCCAAAGAGAATAATGGTATTTTCAAGATTGTTCAGCAAATATTCTAGTTTAATGTCAGCTCCAGAATAATGGAGTTTTTGTCATATTTGTAATTCTTAATTGCTCTCATGAAATGACAGTGAAAACAACATCTGGAAGATAAAAAAAGCCAAATGCATTTGGGCGAAGAAAAGATTCCTCTGACTAAACACCCACATCGCTGCCAGGGACTGTGGGAAGGCTACCCTTCCAGTCAGCATTGCAAACAGTTTGGCTGACGTCTTCCCCTTGCCCTATGTTCCCCAAGCACAGCCTTCCCTCAGACCTGTAAGTAACCCTCCAGCCTCTTTTGCTTTACTGAGCCAGCCTTGAAAACTACTTTTTTTGGCCACCCCTCCAACTACAAAAGCAAGGGAGATTCAAATCCCGCAGTCAGCCTCCTCCCTTGATGCCTTGCAAGAGGGTCTTGGTGCACACAGGGGTGATCCTAGTGCTGATGGCGAGGGCCAAATGCACAAGCGTGCAAACTCACACTTGCTCCCAACGCTCTACAGAGCGGAGGCAGCCCAGGACCCTGGATTGCCTTGGGTCTGGGCACCCAGAAGCCCTGGGCATGCACTACCCACATAGCTACTCTCAGAATACTGGCTGAGCATCACCCCTCTCTGTCTTTTCGTTTGTGAGCCTCATGGCTACCACAGGTAGGGTGGCGAAAAGGAGAAAGGGAGAAGTGTTAGTATGGGTGGTTGTGTGTCATGTTTTCTGCTTCATACAGCCATTTCTATTGGAAATGACCAGCACCGCTGACTATGTCACGCTGACCCTGGGACTGTCTGCTGAAAATCTCCTAGAAATGAGTTTAAAAGTTCACAGGTAACCTGCTTACTAAGGAGAGAGACAGATAGCTCAAGAAAGGGAGAGGATGTCGTAGCATTGCAAGGCCAAGGGTCCAGAGAAGATTGTGACAAGGGGACAGTTACACCAGGGAGGAGACAGGGATTTCTGTAAGGCTGCTTCCCAAAGGCTGCTCAGGACATCTCCCTTCCAGGACAGCAGATGGCTTGTAAATGCATTGCAATTTTTTACAATTCCCTCTTGTCTAGCTGCTTCTAGGAAGAGGCATCTTGCTAATTATTCTTTCTAGTCTGGTGCTTTTGTAGGAGGGATAGAGACACATTTGTAGGTCAGATTATGAGGACAGGGTCAAGCTGCCACAGGACTTTACACAGAGACCACCCCCAGGAAGCAGCTCCCATGGCATATTGGACTCCTGCTTCCCTCATTTCATCGTATCATCAGTCCTTGCACTAAGGACTGAGCTATGTAGGTTTTTCAAGCTCTGGAAATGGGT